CTCTACTGATTGATCTCTTCTCTTTGTGCATGTGCTTCCACAGTCTAGCCTCTCCTTGTCAAGTTCATGTTCCGGATCTTTGCCTAGTTGATCCTCTTCTCTTTGTGCATTGTCAAGTTCATGTTTCTGATCTTTGCTTAGTTGATCCGTTCTCTTTGTGCATTGTCAAGATTATGTTCCGAATCTTTACTCAGTTAGTCTCTTCCCCTTGTGCATGTGCTTTCCACTGGTCTGGTATCTCATTGTCAAGTTCATGTTCCGGATCTCTACTTAATTGGTCTCTTCTCTTTGTGCATGTGCTTCCACTAGTCTAGTCTTTCATTGTCAAGTTCATGTTCCGGATCTTTGCTTAGTTGATCCCTTCTCTTTGTGCATTGTCAAGCTCATGTTCCGGATCTTTGCTTAGTTAACCCCTTCTCTTTGTGCATATACTTTCCACTAGTCTAGTCTCTCATTGTCAAGTTTATGTTTGGTGTGCTGTCCGGATTTTTACTTAGTTAGTCTCTTCGCCTTATGCATGTACTTTTCACTAGTCTAGTCTCTCATTGTCAAGTTCATGTTGGATGTGATATTCCGGACTTTTTCAAAAAAAAATTTAAATTAATCAAATTTTTTTTCGGCATTTCCTTTTGGGAAAATTTTCGAAATGCCCTTGAAATTTGCGTTTATTTGCGGCGTGCCCCTCTGACGGTCGACTTACCTTGTCATGCCCCTCTGACGACGAATGATGTTTCCAAAAAACCCCTGCCATCGTTTGGGCCTGAAAAATGTTTCATATACCCCTACCGGTACCAGTACCAAATTTTCAGTATGCCCCTACCAGATGGTCGTTGAGAACCAGAACAAAAGTTTCCCATATACCCTTATTGGTACCGTCCATCTTTCCAGCGAGCCACTGTGGCCGTTGTTGACACTCGGTCTTTCCTTTGGGCCAAGGAGAGATGCTACCGGGGTATATCAGAAATTTGGCAATGAGCATGGACACACACACACACGCGCACGCACACACACACACACACACACACACACACACACACACACACACACACACNAGAGAGAAGAGGACAACAAACGAGGGGCTGTGACAAACTGTTTCGTCGGAGTTTCACCGACTCATCAGGAGGCTGCACCCTCAACAGTCTGCAGAATCCCCTCACTGATTACACTGTAAATGATAATCTACCTTAACCAAAACCAAAGTAGACTATCACTCACCCACACCAGATGGAAAACTCTACAGACTGTCGGTTCACACCCCATCACATATATCTATATCTATATCTATATATCTATATATATCATCAAATAATCGTCAAACAGAACTGCCCGCTGCAACGTAGGCAGAGAGGGAGGGAGAAGAGGAAAACAAACGAGGGGCTGTGACAAACTGTTTCGCCGGAGTTTTGCGTGTCAGCCTTCCGCAGGGGCCATGCTCATTTGCTAAGTACCCTTCTCTGTTTCGTTCCAATTTTAACGGATGACCTGGAGCAAGGTCCCACTAGCAAAGGCGATTAGATTAAGCGCCCGAATCTGGATGGGTTTGATGCAGAGATGCAGAACAGCGAATGAATTTCCAAATTCTGCACCTTTCCACAATCTACCTCCAGGTTCCGACGTTCAATCCAATCTTCTTTGCCAGTGGGACCACGCTCTCGATCTGTCTAT